TTTTATTTTTGGAACTAACCGAAATATATTATATATAAAAAGACGGCTGTTTTAAAAGTGTATGAGTTGGATTCTATAATTGCAAATGTATTTGTGCATGAGATAGTAAAATATATGCACAAAGACTCTAAATAGTCAATAGTGCACTTATGAAAGGTAAATGTGTATTTCTATAATGTTTAGGTGGATATAGAATTTGGATACATATTATGATGTCTAGGTGTTTCACCATTCACCAATAAAAGTGCACATGTATGTATTTTGCAGCTATTGACATACATGTGCACGAGATATTGAAATAAATGTAAAAAAGATTTTAGAAACGGTGTGTTATGTATGTAATGTACATGTGCATTTTAGTAATGTTTAGGTGGATAGAAAAACTTGATCCTAGTAAACTACGTCACTTGCATAATGCTTTATTTGTAATGTATATATGCATTTCTGACTCTAAACAATGCATAATATACAAAACAAGGTGCATAATATAATATCTAAAATGTGACTTAATTGATGTAAATTAGGTGCAAGGAGTTTAATGATCGATGAAAAGTTGAATCATTAATAAGATATGCAAGTGCAAAATATAACTACGAGTTGTGCATGTTAGTGACTTTAAGTATGCAAAAGATATTTAAAATGGTGTCTCTAAATGAATTTATTTGAGTTTAAATGCATTACTAAGATATAGTTGTGCAAATGAAAAGGTTCAAAAATTATTGTGGAAAAATAATACTCCGTAATTAACAATTCAAAGCTTGCTAATAATTGTGAAAAATTAATGTATCTCACCTTCAAATAATACAATAACATATCACATGAAATTCAAGTACACTAACGTATTTATGTAAGTTATCTTGTACAAATAGCTTAATAAATAGGTCCGTATCCTGCATGTGTATTCACAATATTTTGAATGGTTAGTGGTGTATTATTATATTATATATAAATATAAATATATTATATTATATTTAGAAGATCACCTAATAATTACGATGTTTCCTTGAATATCAGAAGTTATTCCGGATTGCTGGGACAAAGTCAATTACCATAATAAATTAACATGGATTGATTACTAAAATGCCCAAACGTTAAAGTTAGATCAAAGCATCCTAAGACTTGATATAAACGGTCAAGATTAGTTCTCATTTCTTATGTTAAGAGTTGTTCTCATTTGAACCAAACTCTATATATATATATATATATATATTTATATATATATATATATATATATATATATATATATATATATATATCTTTATCTTTATATATATAAAGAGAGAATGGTGGAATTTCAGGTGCCAACATATTTGCCGCCAACATAAGTGAAAATTGTTGTATACATTAAGTAATTAATAATAATTAATGATCAATATGATTGTGTGATAAAAACTTGCCGGTGCACATAAACTGATAAAAGATGCAGTCAATGATATGATGAAAAAAATTAATACCTCAAATTAATACTTTCAAACTATACGTTTGTCATTCAATTCATTACCATGCATCCAAAAAATTTGAAGTATTCAGTCATATTACTAAACTTAAGGCCCTATGAGCGCATTTATAGAACATGTTTATTTAATTAGCCAAGATATTACGAAAATATTAAAATCAAGATGAAGCATGTTTATTTAATCTTTATTATATACTGCATAAATAATAACGATAATATATATCATCAAAATATATAACGATGACATAGTTAGAAATGAGATAGATCATTATCCCACCAGCTTAATTAAGTGAGTAAAATGATAACTTATTAATTAATGTTTAATTATTTCGTCTAGCTCTATATATGGTATATATAGTACTATGTAACGTATATGAGATAATAAATTACGATTTGAATAAAAATGTAACGAAGGTTAATTGATATATAGTGCGTATAAACATTTGAGGGTTGATTTGATATACAAAGTAATATATTTTCCATCTTTAAGTTGAATATTTATAATTTATAATTAAACATAATATTCTTCATTCTCTATGGGGATAATATAACACCTATAAAAGTTGTCTCAATGATCATATATTCCCATTTTTCAAAAAGACATTAGAATGCTTCAAAGTATATTATTGGTATTCTTCATTCTCTATGGTGATCTTATTGTTGGACATTAAAAATTTTATACTTTGATAAAAAAAAATATACTTTACGATTTTAATTTATCATTATATCCATACTTCATTTTTTTGGTTATATCCATATTTTATTATATATAAAGAGACAGAGACACATTTTCTAGACTAATGATTCTCACATCTCAATTGGGCATGTTAAGAAATTATATGCATGATAAAGTATTGACCAAAAAAATATTGACTAATACACAATTTTATAAATAATTGCATTGTACTTTTATAAACAAATAAATATTAAAGTACCTGATAGAGTGATATATAGATGGTAAATCACAATACTAAGACTAAAGTAATTATACTGAAGGATGTACTAACTAATTTTTTTTTTTTGTAACCAAGATGTACTAACTAATTAATATCCTAAACAAATAATTTTTTTAGAGCTGATCTAGAACTTTTTTATCTGAATCCTTTTGATCTGACGACTTTGATCTTTTTTATTTGATCTAAATCAATCTCATCCTAATCTATATATTTCTACTGTAAGTCTGTAATTAAATGTTTATTGTTGTTATCATTGTTGTTGTTGTTATTATTATCATCACTATTATTATAAATATGATTATGATTACAATTATTAACTAATTACTAATTATAACTACAACTATACGTGTCAAAAATTATAACTACAACTATAATTATAATTATAGTTATACCTATATTATAATTTGGATTATAATTATAGCTATAATTATAAGTTTAATTATAATTACAATTATAGTTGTAATTATATTGATAATTATAAAAAGTAGTTGATAACTGCAAATTAAAAAGTAAGATTCATAAATTAAAAATCATAAAAACTTACACTCACTCTGTCTCAGAAAACTTTACTAACTTTCCTTTTTCGATTATCTCAAAAACTTATACTCCCCCTGCCTCAGAATAAATTATACTCCGTACAAAGTATGAAAAAAAACTAAAATGGTTGATAACTTTGATAAATCGTATACATATGGATCACCAATGGGTCCCTAGATTTCCCGTGCAACGCACGGGTTTATCGTCTAGTATATATATATAGACACACACACACACATACATACTCCCTCCATCCCTTTTTAAATGTCCCATTTTATCATATTAGGATGTTCCACATCATCTTTATTTTGGTCATGTTTATGTAATTATTTCTACTTTATTTTGACTTTATCAATTAATATCAACCACACAAACTCACTTTTCTTAAAACTCGTGTCACCCTCTTCCGGAACATTTAAAAGGGGATGGGAGAAGTAGTTCGATACGTATTTAAACATGAATATGCTAAATGAAAGTGAGTTAGAAAGTAGATAATGAAGTGTTTACAAATCAAATAGATGCATATTTTATATTTATAGATAAAATTAACTTTGTTGGACTTCAAGGGTATGCTTCAATTGCAAATGAGTTTTGAATTTTAAATTAGTGCAAGCTAGTTTAATTCCAACGTATAGTGCATTTTTTATAACGATTGTGTCATTAAATTTTAATAACAACAGTTTTCCAAAAAAAATAATTAAAATAGCAAAATGTATAGTAAAATGTTTGGATAGAACCGATGGTGCATGCGGTACTTCAATCAATTCCAATGTATAGTGCATGCAGTACTTTAACACCGGTACTAGCGCCGCATGATCCAAAAATGAGTAATTATGAGTTATGCATATAAGTTTGGAAATAATCTCAAAATAATCCAGCTTTAGAATTTGATACCGGATTATTTTATCAAATACTACATAATCTCATAAAATAATCTCAACTCCACATCCATGATCCTCCAAAAAAATCTTCCACATCATCAAAATGATCCTAAAAATAATCTATGGATGTGGATGCCCTTAGGGTTTGATGAAATTATTATTTCCCTTTTTTGAACTGATTTAGATAAAACTTTCACACCTAATAATCTAAATTAAGTAATTGTAATTGGTATAATTCAGGTTGGAATTTGATTTGCACATGTTATTGTTTTCTCTTACTCAAAATAAAATTTTATTTTCTACTTTTAGTTTATTTGTTTGCTGAATTTTGATGTCCAAAATTAAAATTGCAGGTTAGAAAAGTCATCTTTTTTTAACCAAACTTAAGAGATGGTGAAGGTTTTGATTGTGATGAGCATAAGCTTGAAAGTTGAAAGTTTATACTGCAACAAGATACTCTTAAACCCAAACCAAGAGAAAGTGAAGCTGCAGCAAGATATTTAGCCTTAAGTGAAAAGTTCTGTTGGACACAAGCCAAAATATTTGAAGTTGTAGCTTATTTGTTCATTCACAATATTCAGTTTTGGGATTGTAGCATGTGTGTTAATGCACACTTTTGTGTTTATTTTCATAACCTGTATTAAGCGAAAGGAGTCGATTTGTTTTCAATTATTGTTCAAAGATATTGTTGAAAGAGTAACTACGTATATGTGTGAAGTGATCAAAATTTTGCAGCTTGAGAGGTACAGGAAGAACAAAAGAACTGCACCAACATAAAAACTGCAGCATGAATTTAAAAATGTGCACTCAAAATAAATAAAACACCTGCAGCAAAATCAAAATAGAACAACAAAAAGTGTTGTGCCAAGAATAAAAAACACATGCATCAAGCGATAGAAAGAACAAAAAGTGATCCACCAAACACATTTAATGTAACTCGTGCACCAAATGACGTTCACAAAGAAAATCATCTGCCAAAACCAGAATATGATACATACATTGCATTGTTGCCTTCTGCACTAACTGGACAATGAAGTTCACAACAATATTGTTTTTTCTTCTGTCTTGGTAAACACTAACTTGGTGCCTGCTAATTTGAAGTCTTAGGAACTTAGGTTTTTGATTAAAGATTGGATTTTTATCTTAATTATTATCCTCTCTCGCTTCTAGGGTTTGACTGGCCTGAAGGGGACGCATATAATTACTTCAGCAGAAATAAAATAAAAATGGAAGATGGAGAGCTTGAGTTTTCAAATAGCCAGGAGATGCTGTTATCCGATTTGAATATCAGTGAATTACCAGACAGCAGTTTTATGGACAGCTTTTTGAATGAAATCCTCAAGGACACTCATGCATGCACCCATGCCCATACCTGCAACCCGCCCGGACCCGACAACTCACACACCCACACCAGTTACCATGTCCACACCAAAATAGTTCCGCCTCCGCCTGTTGCTTCCAGTGAAGACAACACCGCAGAGTCAGTGGATGATAAGAAAGAAGGAAAGAAACGACCATCTGGGAATCGGGAAGCTGTCCGCAAGTATAGGGAGAAGAAGAAGGCGAGGGCGGCATTGTTAGAGGACGAGGTTGTGAGGTTGAGAGCTGTGAACCAGCAATTGCTGAAGAGGTTGCAGGGGCAGGCGGTGCTCGAAGCTGAGCTGGTAAGGCTCAAGTGTTTGCTTGTCGACATGAGGGGAAGGATCGAGGGTGAGATTGGGTGTTTTCCATATGATTATAATAAGCAGCAACAGCAAATGAATCCTTGCAATGTTCAGTGCAATGTCAATGACTATTCCCTTCATTGCCTCCAACCAGGTGGTTCAGACGGTGGCATGAGTTCAGAAGTGAAGGACCAAGGATTGAATAGTAATTGTGGTTTTGATAGCCTGCATTGTTTGGCGGGTGGTAATCAACAAATTTCTGGAGTGAAAGAGCCTGCCGGGCTTGGAGTAGGCTACAGCAACAAGCCCGTTAGTGCTTCTGGTGGGAGTAAGAGGAGTAATAAGAACACTAATTAGAACTGAGTTGTCAGTTTTTTTTTATTTTTTATTCTATCCGTCCTAAAAAAAGAGAGTTATCTTTTTTTAATCTCAGTGCTGGATAAGCTGTATATGCGTTTAATAAATACAGTTATCAAAAGAGAGTTATCTTTTTTATCTCCTTTTGTTAATTCTTAGGGCTTATTTGGTCCAGGATCTCAAGAGAGAATGGGTGAATTAATTTATACTTGTTAGTTTAAAATGAGAAATATTCACGTGATTAGTTAAATCATGTATGTTTATATTGTTTTTTATCTCACTTTATTTACAAATTACAAGCAGCTAAATGTAGATACTAGATACGAAGTATTATCTAAAATATAGTATCATCCAATCACCCCTTGCAGAATTAACAAATCAAACAAGCCCTTGGTTTCAGTCAGCAGAGATACCTGTGCTGTAATGCATGATTTACTTTTCAGTTGAAACTGAAAATTCTGCTGAAGAACTAGCCTTAAAGATTATGCTGACATTATACATTTATACATCCATTTCAAAATGCCCAAATGTAACTTATGTGTTGTACAGTTGGAGAGGAGCAGAAGATGAATTGATTCTCATAAGAGCATTAAGCAAATAATCAACAATTTTTAACAGATATTCTGTGAATGTAAGAGATCAATTATATAATGCGTGAATTATCATGTCCTTTCCAGTAAAAACAAATCTGAACAGAAAACCGTGACTTTCAAGATCTATTGGTAAGCAACTCGTCTTCTTCATCCCGGTAAATACTATCTGCCAATTTCCAGATTTGAATAGTATTGTCTTCTGCAACACTTGAGATGACCCATGGCTCATTTTTATTCCAAGAGAAGTCAGATATTTTAGCTTGATGACCCCCATGAGAGAAGATTAGTTCAGAGGGACCATCCGCAGCTTCTCCTTCCAACTGCTCATCTCCTACCCTGAAATCAACCCTCTCAATAATGGTGAGCAAGCCAGGATAATTGTTACTTCATCTGTTTGAATTTGAAGGTCTCGTTCACTATTCTAGGATCAACCTAGTTTTCTATTTATCGATAATTTTATGTATCATAATCATATTCAGTAATAGCAGTTCAATAAACCTTTTAGTGTACTTTCTAAACATGTAAACTTAAATTATTAATACAATTCAAACATTATTAGGACTTATAGGAGAACTTAACTTTTGCTTTTATCAAACTTTGTAATCCAAAATGAGACATTCAAATTGGGACAGAGGTAGTATGATATAGCAAACATCAGGTGAAAATAAAATGGTAATGTACTGTTTATCAAGTTGGCCACAATACCTATTAATATCCCAAACCATTAACCTTCTGTCACCAGCAGAAGATGCCAGCACTGTTTCATGGTTAGGATCCCATTCCACCTGGAACACTTCATCCCTGCAAAAGAGCATCATGTCAGTAAATAAAATTGGGCTTAATCCGAAAATCACATACTTTTGTCAGAGACTCAGACTATCAGGAGATAATAGATGCACTGATCTTATTAGAGTAATACAAAAGGGCATACGTATGACTGCTTAAGATGTGCAATGGAGCGTTCAACTTTCGCATGTCAAACAGACCAACTGTAGTGTCTGAAGATGCCGTTGCAACTACCCACTCATTGTATGGATTGAAGGATAGATAGTTGACCTGAATTCAAGATGAGATGCATTTAACTTTAGAGCGCAACAGATCACTTTTGAAGATACCACATGATTAATCATAGAAAAATAACCCAAATTTTGTATTTTAAACTTCTACTGTCAGAAAAATTGGAATTGACACCCCGAGTTTTCACCATATCCAAGTTTCCATTATTTCTTCCTAATTGGACTTTGCACCCCATTTTTGACAGATCTCTTGAATTGTAATGTGCAAATATTAATGATTTGGAAATTGGGGTGTAGGCACAAAATTGGATTAAAAATATAGTACAAAGTCAAATTCGCCAAACCTTTACTACCTATGTATATATTGTCAAGGACTAAAGAATGTGTAGAGATATCATATTTGTGTCTCATCCTCACATTTGAGTGTCTAGATGTAAGTAAAACATGAAGACTCAACAAAGCAGCTAGCACTAAACACACACATACATACACACCCATATATACACATTTATAAAATATATAGGCATTACACCTTATATACATGTAAGCAGATATTAGAAATGAAATCTATGTAATGGAGAAAACAAGTATGAGATTGCCCTTAAATATCCATGACAAACACTAAAAAGACTAAAAAGCACCATGTGAAATTCAAGTTCACCTCCTTTTCGTGAACTAAGACAGACTGTTGGGGCTTATTTGTGCGAGTGTCCCAAATAATTAGCTGGCAATCATCTCCAACAGAACCAAACATGTTTTCATTCTTTAAATGCCATGAGACATCTTCAACCACGCTTTGATGTGCCTAAAATAACATTCATATTTGTATATCAGATATTATAAGTGTTAAGTCTTACAAAATGACTCCATCTTGTGAGCTTGTAATTTAAATCAAGAGTGAGTTAAGACATCAATATCTGATACACACGAATAAAAATTATACTCCATAATACATAGTAAATTATACCAGACGCTACCTGATAGATGAAATCTGCTTCAAGCACCTTATCAATAGGTGAGGCTGATATGTTCCATAAGCAAACTTTGGAGTCGTTTGAACCACTCAAAAGATTTCCCTCCTTGAATGGGCTCCATGACAAGCCATACCCTTCTTCATCATGGCCCTTCAATCTCAAGTCAGGGTCACAGGCACCATGTTCATTATTACTCAGAGAGTCCATAGACTGCTTGGCAAAGTCGAACAGGTAAACTTCGCTGCAACTAGTTTTAGCTGCAACAATAGATGTGTTTTGCGGCATACACCTTGCTCTGTTCACTTCCCCACCAGTATGTATTTTTCGCACTATCTCTACCTGTAAACAGTATACAAGCTTAGGATGTGGGATAACTCGGATTCCAGTGAGAGACTAAATAAAACTAACAGATCTATGAGTAAATTGAAAGAACTCAGCTCCTTGAGAAAATGGCGCGCACACACTAAATCTCCAAACACCTTGCCCGAATTGTTTTCAATCAAGGATCAGAAAATCCAACCAGGAAACATGATTTAAGAACACAATCACACATCAAAAGGCGTACAATGAAAAAAAAATCAAATTGATAGGTAAAAATAGGTGATCTGTAACCTTGGGCGTTTGAGATTTGGTGAGAGTCGGGGGCATTCCAGGCGCAGGGCTCCGAGGAAGGTACGCCCGAGCGAGCATAACGAAGTTAGGGCAATCTACAGCGCTGTGGGTCCCCAGGATAAGGTTATGTATGGAAAAGGGTCCTTCATCAGTTGGAGGAGAAGGAAGCCATTGAACTGTGAGAGAAGACCACTCGAGGGAATGAGAGATGACGAAGTCGTACAGCAGCGGCGTGTTCCCCTTCCACACCGCGAACTCCTCCTGCACATCCTCCTCTCCATCGCCTCCGGCGGCCCCGTCGACGTCTGTCCCTCCCATTTCTCTCAGTCTCCGTCAACTGCTTCACTGGGAAAGGGGCGCGAGCGAAAGAAAACGCAGATGCTGTGTGCGGCTTTGGATTCTCCTGCCTGAATGAAGCGGGAAATGGAGGGAAACTTGCTAGAAGTTGTACTGGGCTTAGTTCGATCACTTTGTCCCCGCGAGTCAGCCCAGCCTGGTAATATTTACTTCGTATTTAGTTAGCATATCATTAATCAAGACATTTTGGTTAATCCATAGCAATTTTTGTGGGGATAATTATATATATATTTATAAAATTTTAAGTGTAGTAATAATAGTAATAAGCTAGTAACTTTAATCATAATAACTTATACTTTGTATTCAATATTTAGACTAAAAAAATCATGGGACTATATTATATTAATTATTAATCATATTTTTGTAAATAAATTTCATTTTGATAATACTTTGGAAATACCTTTTTTGTAATGTCGGTGTGGTGGATCATTTTAATTCAAACAGTTCTACTGAACACAAAAATAATGATCACGACAACTTCTGGTCCATAAGTGGATTGAGTTAGCAATCTCAAGTTTTTTACAATACGGTGATTAGGTTGTATTATCACGCCAAGCACTTTATAGTTCAATGACATCATTGACACTTCTAAAGAAGGGGTTAAACTTACATGTTCAAATATATATCAATTAATGGTTTAGAAATTTAATATTTAATATATACTACAATTGATTAAAAAGTACAATACACAAGGTTGTGACATCAAGTTTAAGAGTTATTCCATGTACTAAATTTAATATTTAGTACATTGTCTTTACTCTTTAAAGAGACATGGAGATAGCCTGCTTAATTTGGAGAGTTTAAAATAACAATGAATCAAGTAAGATAATTCAATATACATTATGTGCTCTCACGTGTGTAGAGATATACGGAGTATGTAGTAGTACAGAGTTACAAACAGTATTTGTGGCATGTACTAAAGGTCTTACTTAAACCGACACTCGGATAGTTTATAATATGAAAAATAATTAAAGTTCTAGTCGAAAATAAAAATTGGTACAAAGATGATTGATTCGGTTCTAGTCAAAATCATGCCTTTTGTTTTAAAGGCTTAGTAGTGTTCCTATTTAGAATAGTCGTATTGGAATATGAACTGAATTGAAATTGTCAAAATGTCAAATGCATATGGCCCCAAAATGAACACAGTTTTACCTAGTTTTAAAAAATTAATTTAGAAAC